TTCCAGGGAGGAAAACAACCCACCGCACTTCTCCCTGGATTGACCTCCCCTTCCCACCCAATATCCATGGACAGGGGAAAGATGCTGCTCCCGAGTACCTGATAATAATAATCATCCAGGTAGGGATCAGTGCTCTGCAGCTGCATCATCTGGATCTTGGACACCCAGTCCTTTTCCCGCTGCAGCATGAGGTTGGCGTAGGGATCCTTACGGATCTGCTCCTGATGGCTGCTCCGGTGGCCCCCTCGGTCCCCCCCGGAGCCGTTGAGGCTCCGGTGCTGGCTGGCAGGAGAAGAAGGGCACCCGTGAGCACACCGGAGCTACAGGAAGGGACAGAGAGGGGGGACAGGTGACCCCGGAAGCAGGACACGTCCCCGTGCCGCGCGGCCCCGTCCCTGTCCCCGCACTCACTTCCGGTTCTGCTGCTGCCGCTGGTGCAGGAGCCGGCGGTGCTGGGGGTGCAGGTGGGTCGTGTCCGGCCGGAACATCTGGGGCTGCGGCCTGGGGAGAGCGGGAACGGTCGGGGGGGGACGCAGGGAGCGCGTGGGACGCGGGGACAGGGACAGCACCGACCTCAGGTTCTGCAGGTGGGATCCGGGGCCCGGAGGGTGCGGCAGCTGCGAGGGGGGCGGGGCGGGGGGAGCCCCGAAAAAGGCACGGAACCCTCCGGCCGGGGACATCATCTGCCCAACTCTGCCCTGGAGCAGCTTGGGATTCACCGAGGGCAGCGGGCTCCCCACCAGCCCGGACACCCGGGCAAACTGGCTGGGGGACATTCGGCCGGCCTGGAGGGGCAGAGAGGACACCGGGAGTCAGCCAGGCGGGAAAAGGATCTGGGATGGCCAGCAAGAGCCACGGAGCGCCAGGTCCCGGAGCCACGCAGAGAGAAAGGTGGGATGAAGCACAGGAAGGAGCTTTACCTGGGCTCCTCCGAGCAGCTGGGCTCTCTGCAGGTGTGTGAGAACCGGAGAGACGCTGTGGGGGAACGGGTGGCCCAGGAGGGAGGAATTCTGGGGAAAGAGTTGGGAAAAGGGACCCCAGTCACAGACCAGAACTGGCAGATGGGACAAACCCCAGGAAGGCCAAGCTCCATGGGGTGGGGACGAGACACAGGAATACAGGGAGGTTTTGGGGAGGCCGGTCATCAATCCCCAAAAAGACGGAGGAGGCAAAGCTGGATACCGGAACATTGCAGAGCTGGTTGGGGGACATCCTCTCTCCATAGGGAGCGGGATAACGCTGCTGCATGGTAGCTCGGATGTGGACAGGCTTGGGACACAGGATCTGCGAGGAGGCAAGCGGCACAGTCACTCCCCCTGGGAAGCAGCTTGCACCCTTGGGAGCAGCGGGAAGCGAGGAGATACCTGCTGGTTGAAGTTTGGGACGGCGGCCTGTTTTGGGGGGGTGCCGATGGGAATGGCCCGCACCGGGGGGCTCCCGATGATGGGGGAGGAGGAGCGCCGGGGCAGCGCCCGCTCCGATGGATCCCGCTCCTCGTCCCGAGCCTGCGGAGGCCTCTGGGGCAGGGCATAATCCAGCACGGACACTGATGGCATCTCCTGCAGCAGAACGGGAGGGACACCCCCCTGGAGCCACAGGCTGTGTCCCCCCTTCCTCCTGCCAGCTCTCCACCTCCCCCTGCGCTTCCCTGGGATCTCCAGGCGAGGCTGGGCATTCCCAGAGCACGTGTGACTGCCAAGAGCGTCCCGTTTGGGATAACAGGGCGTGGGGCAGGAGTTCTGGGTCACCTCCCAGCCCGGCAGAGCCAGGAGAGGGTTGGACACGCAGCACTTCAAAGCCTGACTCTTAATGAAACCACAACACAACACAAAAATCCTCTGCCTCCAGGCATCAACATTCCCAAATCCAGCTGGGAGCCCTGAAATCCCTCAGAGAACACCAGGCATCCCAAAACAGCAAAACTCCATCATCCCAGCCCTCCAGGGTCCGAGGGGGGACAGAAGGTGACAGCTGTGAGGGTCCCCCACAAGCCACAGCCGCAGCGGAGGGAAGCAGGCCACCCCACTATCCCAGGAACAGTCTATCCCACCCAGCTGGCTGCCACAGGCATTTGGGATCAGCAGGGAAGGGCCCCCAGCACCCTACCTGAGCGAGGAGCGGCCCCCGGATGCGCCGCAGCACGGCCGAACTGTCCCAGATGCTGGAATTCAGCCCTCCAGGCTGCTGCAGAGCACAGGGGGAGTCAGGAGGGCGCTGCGGGACCCATCCCCGCGCCCCCCCGGATCCCCCAGCCCGCTCCCACCTGCGGGGGACCCCTGGTGTGCACGGCCTGCATGATGGCCGGGTCCTCCAGCTCGCTGTCGATGACGAGGCGCGTGAGCCGCTCGGCCAGCGCGTCCTCGGGATCGCCCAGAACGTCCCCGTCGTTCCCAACGGGACCGTCCGGCTCCCGGCTCGAGCCGGCCTTGTCCTCCAGCTCCGCCAGCCGCTCGTGGGCCTCCTGCCAGTCATCATCTGCGAGGGGGCACAGGGTGAGGGACGCGGGCCGGGGCCGTCTGCGGGTCAGGGAGGTCTGGGGGTGACACTCAGGGTCTCACCGACGGCCCCGGCCCCGAAGGTGTCGTCGTTGAACTGGTCGATGTCTTCATCCTCCTCCCCCAGGGCCTGGAAAGCATCTTCATCCTCGTCCAGCGGGCAGTCCTCCAGGGACTGGGACAGCCGGGAATGGGGTCAGCCCCACTGGACCTCCCTGACGACCCCTCAGCCCATTATACCCATAGAACACACCCCCCACCCGGCGATGCCCCCCCAGCCCCATTATCCACCCCAGGAAATCCCCCCAACCCATCATTCCTATGCAGTGCCTCCCCCAAGCCATCCCATCTGCCCAGTGACCCCTCCAGACCTACAGAGCGACCCCTCCCGCTATGCGCTCCCCCAGCCCGTCACAGGCCCCCAGTGCCCCCCAGACTCCCTCTGCCACCCGGAGCCCCCTCCCAGCCCCTCAGCGCCCGCCCTCCCCAAACAG